AGTATTTTTTATTATAGCCCTTTTGGTTTTATGTAAAACAAAGGTATATTTTCAAAGGATATATTATTTATGGACAGATAATTACAGAGGTTCTTTGTCAATATGACAGTAAAGGTTGTTCAGGCAACACTGAACAAAGAGATGATTGTTCTTCGAAATTATGGCTGATACAATGTCTGCAATCAAGTGACCAAAATGTGGGCATTTGGCAGTCTACTTGCACTTATGTCCTTGATTGTGTCCCCTTGAGCTTGTGTGTGTTGGGAGGGGGGGATTTCTTGTTTCCCTGGCCTTGGAGCTTGTCATCCAGGGGGTGAATAGAAGAGACAATGCTGGCTTCTTTGCCTCTTCTGGAAGGTTTAGTAAGGCAATTCTTGATCATATGGTCAGGCTCTCCACAACAGAAACAAAGGACGAGCTTTCTGCACTGTTGCTGATTTTCTGCTCCTGGGGCTTGTTTGGCTGCAATGATTTTAGATATCTTAAAGTCCACTTCAAAACATTTTTGCAGTGGTTTTATAAACCATGCTGAGTATGCTGGGCAGGGGTGGGATTCAAATTTCTTAACCACATTATATGGATGTGGCCTAATTTGTGGATGTGGCTTGGTGGTCATGTGATAGACTGAGCATGGCTTGTATGTAAATATTGTAAATGTTTATGTAAATATTTAGTTTTCTATAAAAAAGAGCAACTTTTACCCAAAACCAGGCAAAACAGGCAGGCAGGTTGAGTTGCTTGCAGAATCACAGATTCATTCACAGATCTACCTTTCTGCAAGCTGTTGCCTGAGTCTGCACTGAAAAATAGAAGCTTCAGTCCTAAGGAAGGTTCAGCTCTGCTCTCAGGCCACTTCTCCCCCCACCAACACCCTGAATATCACCCCTGACTGGGCCTCAGGGGAGCCTGCTGGGCGAAGGCAAAGCAGTACAACAGTGATTTAGATTAGCTAGAAAGCAAGAAATCCGATGATGATGTAGCACAGCTGATAGTCGGAACAACTGATAGTTGGGGAAAAAGGAAAAATAGCAACTTACCAAAAATTAGGCAAATTTACATCTGATTCGCCAAAGCAGTAGTTGAACCAAGCGGCTGGCCCTGTCCACCTCTCCCCTCCCCGGAGTCTCCACGTGGCTCATTTGGATGCAGGTAAGTGCAGAGTCCAAAAAATGGGCCAAACTGGAAGTTCTGGAAATGGGCCTGTTTCCAGCTTCCAGAGGCCCCCTGGAGACTGGGGAGGCCATTTTCGCCCTCCCAGAGGCCCAAGGAAAGCCTCTGGACCCTGGGAAAAATGAAAAACAGCCAAACCGGAAGTTCTGATAGGCCATACCCACTGTGTCCACACCCACCCAGCAACCGGACAGAGAGCTGGTTGCTGGGATTTTTGAATCCCACCCCTGGTTACTACCATACAAGATGCAACAAGGAAAGGGGATTGCATGTATCATTCAAAATTATACTTTGCTGTCTTCTGTTTAGATGACATAGTGGTTTTTGCTAAGAAATAGAAAGTTACTGGTGTTAGAAGAACATGATCGAGATGTAGGTGGCATGTAAATCTATGGTATGATAAAGTAAAACTGTAGATCTAAAAATTATTATATCAAGCATTCTTAAAGAGTATGAAATAAAATTTAGACTGCCCACAAAATACTTGCATGGCTCTCATCACAAAAAGCATTTTATAGTTATAAAAGGTAACTAAACATAAATGTTCACAGATTCTAAAACAAAATGAATACCATATTTCACAAAGAATGAACTACTTAACAAAGGTTTTTCATGTACAATTATCAGAAATGCTTAAGGTGAATGACAGATTTATCATTTTTTAATGTTTAAAATAAAATTATGTACAATTGTATCAGGCTAAATCATGTTTGTTGAAATATGAGCAGAAAAAGAGATAAAAGATTGTATAATAAAATAGACTAAAATGTACATATGGATTACAAATGGAACAATGGGAAAATAAGTGATTAAAAGACTGAAATTTACATTATGCTCTGTCTAGCCTTAAACAGAATTTGTATCACTGGTATTTGCTATCAGATAAATTTGCTACAATGCATACAAGTAAAAAATAGTTTGAATCTTTGCTGAAAAAGTGAACGGTCTGAAGGGATATTTTATTATGCAAGGTCTCTGGGTAAAAAAGCCACAAATTTGGATACAAATAAGTACACTAACTCAGAAGGCTTTAAAAAATAATTTACAATTGAAACCAGAAACTTTTCTTTTGAGATGAATAAACTAGCAGGTAGAGAGAACTATGAAAGTTTGTTTTTCTGTATAGTATAACTGCAGAAAAATATCTGTACGCTCAAAAGTTGGAATGTTCACCACTACCCTCAAGAGCAGACTGGTTGGTGAATATCATGGTATTTAAGGTTATAAATTGACTTCCTTGATTAAAGACAGTACAGTATCTATATTTATGGCTGACTGGAAACCCTTTTTTTTTTGCATGAAACAGAAAAAAATACAAGCCACCAATGACATGGTTTTGATTAGATAAAAAATGAATAATTTAGTAGTAATCATAGAGCTTTATTTTGTAATTTGTAATATTTGTTGCAAAGCAAATTGGAATCTTCTTTCGGGGGTCTTTTTTCCTTTTGCACCTTTTTTTCTTAATTCTATTAAACACACACACATACACAATCTTGTCCCGATTTCCTGTTGTATTTTGGTCCTTTTGGCTTTGTGATAGGAATTGGCAATGTTTTCTGTCACCTTGGCACTATTGCCCAGCACTCTTATTACAAGTTTGAGTGATTTATTGAATAGTAACTGTAGTAACTTATGAACGGTATCTTTTATATTTCTCCAAATTATATTTACTTTAATGTTGGAATTCTTGGCTGCTATCTGGCGATCATCATCCTTGAACAACAGAGGTCACTTTGCCCTTGTTCTGTGGCTCTTATCAGTTTTAAACATTTCCTAGATTTATAGTACGTCTATTTGAACAATCAAAATTATTTTCATTATGTTTAAGGATCATCCTCCAAACAGCCAATTGTTATCAACATCCCCTCCAGAATCAGTTTAAATTTCTCCCAAGATCTTAAGTACCAATAGTGTGATTTCTTTTTTATGAAACCAACCTATAGACCAGTGGTTCCCAAACTTTTTCAGTCCACTGCCCCCATGGTGCTACAAACTCATCCTCGGTGCCCCCTTCCCCAGTTTTCTTTGGCATTCAATTTTGCAATGCCAACCTCTCTGGGGCAGCGATGCGGCCAACTTGACCCTCTTTGAGGAAGGCGTGCAGAAGCAGCCCAGACTGGCAGAGGCGGAGGGAACAATCACTTGGAAAGTAAGCAAGCAAGCAAGCGCAGGGCTCAGTCAGAAGAACCGGGCTGCAGAGGGAGGATAGGTTCTAGGTCTGGACCGGCCACATAGAGCTGAACCAAACCGACCCACACACCTTGGAGAACTGCAGCTGCACTCACCTGCATCCTGCGTGCAAGTCCGGCTGGCTGGAGAGGCGGAGGCCAGGCGGGCGCTGTGCACTCCCTTGCTCTCCTCCGGGGAAGGGGGTCCTAATGCCAGACCACGCACCCCTTCCACTGCGTGCTTTGGGAGGGTTTTGCTTTCAGGCCTTCTGGCGCGCCTCCACCACGTCCAGTGGAGGGCAGCCTGCAAGCTAAGGCGCCCCCTTTCCACCACCGCCCACCTCTCCCCCCCAGGCTTGGCAAGGCTCGCTGCACGCGGGTTCCGTATTCTAAGTGCCAGCTGCGGAGCAGTGAAACAGTCAATGGGGTGAGCCTACAGGACTCGTGCCTTGAACGCCCCTGAAATCTTAGTGCCCCCCTGCAGCACCCTTGCTTCTTAGCACCCCCCTAAGGCATCTACCGCCCCCCAGGGGGCGGTACCATCCACTTTGGGGACCACTGCTATAGATGTAGATATCCCAGTGTCTTGCAAATATAAATTGTCTTTCTGCCATCTGTCTCCTTCACACATTAATCAGTCTTATCCGTGGGATAGATCAGAGAAAGCTACACTGTCTAGCATGGTGAATTTCAACAACTTAAGTTTGGATTTGGTTTCTAGGGTGCACTAACTTTTTTGTCATGTTAGCACTGATGTGCTCCATGACCCTTGACATATACACAATATACTGAACTGTTTATACCTTCTCTAATCAAATAGCTAAATTCTAAACATTCCCATGACCACCAAAAGCATATTTTCAATCCTATGGGATACTTCTTTAATGTTACCTTCTTAGTAATGAGTCTCTTCCAATGAATAGTCCTTTTGTGGTGACAGCCTCTTATCCAAAGAACTTTATTTTTCATTAGTCATCCAGGCAAAGTAAAATATATATATTTTACTTTAAAAGGGAACTAACACTATTACCAAGACTTTTTTTAGGGAATCACATATGTCAGGGTCCTTATCAAATATGGATTGCCCATTCCAGGGGCTCATGTAAAGCCTTTAACATTATTGTATATTTTTTTCAAAGTCAAACTAGTTGTTCTGACCCTGCCAAATTCCCCAAGAACAAAAACATTCAGGGTTTTACTCTACAAATACCTCTTTGTATTTAACAAATGGCTTGCAGCCAAGTAGTCCAATTAGCAAAACTTTCAAATAAATCAGTCTGTTATCATCACACATAACCCTTCGAACGCTTTTTGCCTTCTGCAAAGGCAAAAACTGTTTGCAACCAGGCTTATATTCCCTAGAGGGAGGGGCCATTACATTGCCTCCTTACTCCCGAGTCGTCTATGCAGCTTCAGCTATTCCCTTCTACGAAGCATTCTGTGCTCACGTGCACTTACTACAGGTCCTTGTGAAACCTCGTCACTGCTGTCAGCCCCCACCATTTCTGAAGGCAGCAGTCCACTCCCTGATAGTCCCAGTCCCTCCTCCACCATCTGCACCTGCTGCCGGCTAACCACAAGAAGTTCTTGTATACATTAGGTGATGCAATTGAATTTCAAATATTAACATATTAATGAGGTAATGTTCTTTGATAGTGGGGGGGGGGAGGAATAACTCAAAACCTGTAATAATATTAAAATTTTCCATGATTTCCTAAGTATCTTATGAATGTAGTTTGCATTAACATAATACACTTGCCTATGCTTGTATATATGTTTTGAAAACAGTAGCAATGAAGACATTTTGAGTGTTTTTAGATTTTTTTAATGGGAAAGAGAACAAATGTTTGTTGATAAAATCATTACCTAAATTTTAGCTATGATTATATTATTTAAATTCTTTAATAAAATCTGATCCCAATATATATTGATCATCTCCGACACTTGTTCATGCACCTTGTCAGACTTGCAACTTGGATGTTTAGGAAAGAAAGACCCTCGACTCCATTTTGTAAAAGTGATAGGTTCTTTTAACTAATGTCAAGCGGTTGTAGTGAAAGTAAAGCTAGATCTGGTATTCCCACGCAAACGTTACAGTTTTTCCCTTTCCCTGCTCTCCCTCCGCCTTAATCAGTTCAACAGTGTCCAATATTATTTTTTGAATTTTTGGGAAGTTTTGATGTTGGTGCTTCTTAATGTAGTCAAGCGGTTGTAGTGAAAATAAAGCTAGATCTGGTATTCCCGCACAAACATTACATTTTCCCTTTCCCCACTCTCCCTCCACCTTAATCAGTTCAACAGTGTCCAATATTATTCTTTTTGAATTTTTGGGAAGTTTTGATGGTGCTTCTTAATGTAGTTTCTCATTCCATTCCCAAGCCATGTGTCATTGGCAGCTGGTTTATTCTGGTTTGACATCTTGATTTTTGACATTTGATTCTTGTTAGCTTGTCTTCCCCTCTCCATTTGTCTCCCCCTTTCCATGCCCAAGCTTTACTTCCCCAAATTCCTTTCCTGTCTCCCTTTCATTTTATGGCAGGATGCCAGTGAAACAAAAAGTTGAAGATAGCAGAACTGACATTCATAGTGCTGAAAGGTACATGAGTATTTTCTTTGGGACGTTATTTTCCCCCCTTCAATTTAGCTATTGCAAAGTTTACTAAAATTACTAGTACCTTATGTATCAGACAAGTTCATTTAATATGGTGAAGGTAAAGGGGCTCTTAAGTTTAACTTGGTGAATATGTCCACAAACTTTAAGCAAGAAGCTAAACAGTAAAACTGACTTTTCCCCAAGAATTCTATTGAAAAGTTCATCACAAATGAAAGCAAATATATATGTCCTAGGATAATGTTGCAGGATCCAATCTGGGTTGGTCACCAGGACAGTTTTAGTTTTCCTAGCTCTCAGATTTGTGCTACAACCCATCCTCAGGGAACTTCTTTCTATATTTATTCAATGTTCATCTATTCAAGCAGTAAATATCTTATTCTTTCTACTGGATGTATTGTCAAGCGTATTTAATAACTGTCAGGCATAAACAGAATCCCATTCTTTTTTTTTTGTAAGTTTTATTTGAGTTTTCACAAAAAGAAAAGAAATACAAGTAAAACATCTTTTTTGAAAGCAGCATAATCCCGGGTTACATCTCTTCGTACAGACACAAATTCAAGTTCATGCTCATTTTTATATTCCATTCCATATCTTATTACTATTCTACATTTTCTACGTAGCCTCTCCCCTCTTTTAACTTTCTTAATTTTATTTATTTCATCTCAATTCAAATCATTGTACTTATATTCTTTGTCTGTCCTGTTTCGACTATCTTTTCTCATTAAACAAAATTTCTCCTGTAATCACTGATTGGAGTATGACGCCTTTATATCTTTCCCCTAAAAATATAACACTTAATATAATACATAACTTCCGTTCGGATTCTGCTTGGCACATTCTAAAACTACACATTGTATTATTGAAAAAGGAAAAAAAATTATACATGTATAATATAATTAAAACAACAATCCGTTCCAATTCAATTCTATCATTAATATTAATATTAATTTAGATCTTAACATTTTGCACATTACTTTTCAAATAAATATCATACTTCTATGGGAACAATTATAAACTTTCCATAATTAATTCCCCCCAACTTCACTTATATTTTATAAAACATTGACTAATTAAAATGTTCCCATTCCTTCCTAATTCAATTTTCTCATTTATTTTATTCACAAACATTTCCCCAAACCACACCAACTACTTTATCCCTTTTTAAAATCATGTTGTTTCCAATTTTTTAAAATTATTTCTATTAGAAATATAACAATACAATTTTATGTACCTTCACAGAATCCCTTTTTCAGTTAGATTTTCACCCATTATCTTTAAATAGGTCCTGTTTGTTTACATCTTGCTCCAAACCTTTCTAACTTCTCTTCCTTTCCTTCTTCCCTCTCTTCTTCTCTCTCCCCTTTTTACCCCGTCTCTCCACCTCCATTTCCCTCTTCTGTATTCCCCTTTTCTGTTGCTTTCCAACAATATATCTACTTTTCAAATTATTTTTCCCTTCTTTGGCTGTTTTTTTAGGTCTTAAATTCTCCATTCTCTTTCCCCCCTTTCCCCTTTCTTCCCCACATAGAGTTACTTGTTCATTAAAGATGGCTTCTTCTTTGTCCCAGTCTTCTTGTTTTGCAGTCTTTTCTTGTTTCTCGTAGTTGCAGATCTCCATTTCTAAGAATTGAAAAACAAAGCCAAAAGAGCTCTTCCCTTCTTGTGCATCTTTTTTGTATTTTTTAAGTTCCATTTTCAATTCATCCAGAAGTGATGCCATTGTAAAAAAATTTAAACAACCACCCAATTGATTTTAGTCATTCAAATATAATAACCAAAAATCCAAAAGTCACCAGACAGTCCAAATACACACAGCTGTTTCTTTTTCCACTTTTTTTTTTTCCACTTTCTCTTCCTGGGGTTACTATTTAGTTGCAAAATCTCAGTTAAAATGTATCTTTTAGAAGTCTTGTTGAAGTTTTACTTTAGATTCTTTTGAAATCCAGGCAGTCTCCTCCCTCCAGATCCTGCCCTTATTCTTTTCCTCTCCCTTCCTGCTTATAAAAGAAAAAGTTTTTAATGTCCAGAAATCTTTATTGTCCCTCTGGCATTTAGTTATATTTTCAACTTAATTGCCTACTGATGCCAAAGCGGATTTTTCCGATTTCTTATTCTGATCTCTTAATTGTCAATGTAAGGAGAAGAAAAAAAAAACCTTTCCCTTTTTACTTTCTTTCGCTGCTTCTGACCTTCTTTGGGAGTGATGTTATTTTTGTAAAATTTAAATTCCAGGATACCTTAATTGTTGTTTTTTCAGCTTAACCCAGTCAGCCAAAACTTTCACTTCTTATCTTCCTCCTGCACTTTCTTTTCCGGTTGAGCTTCTTTGAGGCGGCCATTTCTGACTGCCATTCCTACCGCCTTCGGGAAAGGGAGTTTGGCCAGCTGAGGAGAGATGCAGCTCTCCTCGACCCTGCTGGCAGTCTCCCCCTTCTTCACCACCTCTACGGGGTGGCTTAGCCCCAAAGCCAGCCGCCTTGGGGAGCTCCAGTGGCGAGCCCAGGCAGAAACCGCGGACGATCGCATATTCCTGTCTGCCGCTGAAGCCCTTCAAACCGGAAGTCCCAACAGAATCCCATTCTTATTCTTTGCATTTATCTACTTTCCATTGTAAACATCAATGAAATCACATATTTTAAATATTAATTTGATTTATTTGATATAGTTTTCATCATTGAGATGGTGTGCTTATTGTCTGATGTGATGATCTCTTCATTTGAAGTTGGCAATTTGCAAGGATAACCATGTGTCGAGTTTATCAATACATATGGATTGTATTGTACCTATTGTACAGATAGTCCTCAACTTATAACTGGTCACTTAGCAATCATTCAAAGTTACAATTGAAAAAAAGGGGTGGGGGCTTACAACCAGGATTCAAAGTTTCCATGGTTGGGGTCTTCGGTAACCACATGACTGAACTTTGAGCACTTGGCAACATGGCCATATTTACAGCCGTTTGCAGCATCTCCCAGTTATATGACCATATTTTATAACAGTTTTGCCAAAAACTGGCACTTTTATTTTTGGCAAAATTGCACCCATAGAGAACAATTAGTTCCCTATAGGGATTTTCTTCTCTGCTGCAAAATGATCATAAAATTTTGCAACCATTATAACGTATGATTTTAATGGGCAGGCACCTTTAGTCGTACATTAAGGACTATCTGTGTTGGAGGGTCTGAGGAATGAAAAGCATGACAGCATAGAAAGGATTATAGAAATGTGGAAATACCCTTTTTAAATAAATCCTACTGAGCATAATAGCAGTGCTAATACAAAAACCACAGGTATTTAGTAGCCATACATTACTATGGTAACATCCATTACAGATGTAATCAAAAAAAGACTGATATTATTATTGATGAATGTACAGTAGTTAAAGATACTGATAAATACCTCACAAAGTTATATGGATATCACAAATCAGCATGAGGATTCTGTGGGTTAAAGTTTAACAGAACTGGAGAGGACTACATTGATATAATACAAGCTAAGGGTGGCTTAGCTTTAGCCAGTGTTTCCCAAAAATATCTTCTCTGCTTTCTTAAATTTTCTGACTTCGACAGATAACTCCCAATATCGAAGGTAGATCCACATGAGCTTTCCATTTTTATTTTTATTGGTATTTAATAAATTGCTGCAAGAAGTATCATATCTGAAAATATCTTTCAGCCCATCTTCCAGTTCCAATTCCAAACCAATTGGATCAGTTGTTGCTTTGGCTAGCATTTTTTTCTCCACTGCCAACCGATGATATCTTGGCAGTACAAGGCTGCAATACATATCCTGCCTTTCTATTAAAGCTTCTTCAAACTCTTTTAGTAAAATAGTGGCTTTTGTTTGCCATTGATCTTCCTTCTCCAAGCAGTTCTTATACAAAGCACCAGCAGCACCAGAATGCTGCAGAATCTGTTTCTCTTGTTCTACCTTTGTGCGCTCTTGTTCCAAAGTTCTTCTTTCTTCTACCAATTTGTAACTCTGAGAGATTAGTGCATTGTGATAACTTAGGGTTCTGTTCCGTTCCTTCTCCAATTCTAATTCCAAGTGGGCAACCATTTTGCGGTTTTCTATAATTATGTCGCGATATTTAGATTCAAGCTCTTTCTGTGCAAAAGAAAATTTTCTATAGACATCTCTTTTCTCTTTTTCTATTTCTTTCTTAGATTCTCTGGACCAAATCCAACCTGTAAGACATTAAAATAACCTATAATGGTGAATACTAGGGCTGGTTTCCAACTTAGCGTTAAGCCAAACTTGATAAACAATGGGGCAATTCTGAACTTATTTGAAATAGGACAAACATCTCTTAATTCTGCTAATCCTAGATCCACATTCTTCTACAAAACTCTGTTTCTCTTCTACAACAATGAAAAAGCAAAATATTAAGACATCTAAAAGGGAAACATTTAAAATACTATTGTTCATGTTTGCTTATATATACCTCTGGTGAAATAATATCAGCGGAATGAAAGAATAAAGTGGAATCAGAAATCAACGAACTTATCCTCAGAGCAGGGTAAATCTTACAACTAGATACCTAACTGGAAATGGATGAGGAAAGAAAATGAATCTCTTAGAATAATTATCTATAGATTGTTTTGTCTTTCCAATTGACTTTTTAAAAAATTTATGTCATAGTCTAGCACTTTTCTTCCTTTTTATAACACATCGTAACTTGTTATTTTCATTTTTTTAAAAATTTCAATGCTTAGTCTTTCCATTTTCAACCATTAATTTTATTGCTACTTTTTTTTACTATAGTAATGTTACTCTATGTATTGGCCTTCTATCTTTATGTTAGAAATAGTCCTCAACTTAAACTATTTGTTTAGTTACTGTTCAAAGCTACAACAGCACTGAAAAAAGTGATCTATGACTGTTTTTCATATTTGCGACCATTGCAGCATTCCTATGATTACATGATCAAAATTTTAACAATTGCAGTGATTCAACTATGGCAAGAAAGGTTGAACATGGGGCAAAACTCACTTAACAACTACTGTATCTTGCTTAGCAACTGAAATTTTGGGGTCAACCCTCTTTTCATGGCTGTCATGCCCCTGGTAGAGACTGACTCTGAGGAAGAGGAGGAACAGCCGACAGGGAGTGGGAGTGTGGCTCCGAGGTGGTGGAGAAGGCTGGGGAAGGGCAGAGGCCAGCTGAGCAATCAGAGGAGGATCCAGGCCCATCCCCTATTCATCTTAGGGCACGCAGGGAGGATAGGATGAGGGAAAAGCGTGGTCTACTTGGGAGGAGAGGGCCATGATCCTCCTCATGGGTTGCAGCTGTGAGCTCTGTATAAGAGTTTGGAACTGCGTGTTCACAGACCCAGTCAAATTAGTGCTTTCTTTGGATGAGGTTATCTTTGTTGGTGTTCTTCCCATGGACTCTCCCTGGTTATCTTTCTGGAATGTGTGATTAATTATCTTGG